ATTTTAAAACATTTACTTTATTGGTGCATTTCATTGTGATGAGATGAGTGTGTCACCTGCACTGAAGGCAATGCAGATTTCTGACCTATGACACTTGATCTCACAGACCGAGGAGGACAGGAAGAACAACCTGCGACTCCAGGATCTGGTCGACAAGCTGCAGCTCAAAGTGAAGGCTTACAAGAGGCAGTCGGAGGAATCGGTAAGATCTTACCTGCATCATTTCCATAGAAGATGGTGGATAATTAATCTACCGATTTACCATCGTTCTCCCTTGTTTGCGCATCCCATTGTAATGCAGAGTAACATCACGAATCAAAGACTCTTACCGTATCCAAGACCAATGGGAACACCCATTATTTAGTTTAGTTTTACTTTCGTTTATATGCACAATGCACTTAGTTACATATATTTCATAGTTTATATGAAAATTGGTTTTAAAAGTACTGTGTTTGAAAGTCAATAAGAATCCCGATGAACTTCAAAAATAATGCATAGGCCAAAGCAAAACATCCGGTACTATGTAAAAAAGATTCGGAAACCTTAGCTATAAAAGCAAATATAATACTGTAATGGTAAATTAATATTTGGGTCACATTTGTAAAAGAAAATGCATCCGTAATCACCGCAGCGCAGGTATTCGCAGTTGTTTTATACAGCCCTCCGACGTGTACTCGAGTTGCACCGTGCCTTGTTTGGCACGATGTCCGACGTTTTTCTCCCCGGTGCCTCGGAGGAAGAACGTCGGACATCATCCCCGAACAACGTGCAGCACCGTCTGAAAACGCACGCGTCAATACTGCACACCTTACCAATGCATTTGTATTTGCCGCTTGAAAAATCCCACAGGAGGAACAGGCCAACACCAACCTGTCTAAGTACCGCAAGCTGCAGCACGAGCTGGAGGAAGCCGACGAGCGTGCAGACATCGCTGAGTCTCAGGTCAACAAGCTGCGGGCCCGCTCCCGGGATAGCGGTGTTGTCAAGGTACGCTTTGTCATTCCACTATTCCAGTGAGAAACTCCGGTGAACACGAGTGGCTGCTTGGACTGTGGGACTCAATGCTTGTCAGGTCGCTTAGCTCAGCACTACGTGCTGCCTGGGGTTTAATGTGGGTATCCACAAGCTTTTAAATCACATTCTCAGGTCTGAAGGTAGTTTCACATGAAAACCCATCACTCTGGACAGAACAGTATTGTACCGAACACATGTCTAGGTCTACTTCGCTTTGTGTTTAGCACAAGTTTGTGTCTGCCGTTCACGATTGATGGGATAGGCACATGATCTATGAGAGTTACTCATGAACTGCGATTAAAGTCTGGTATTTGTTAAGCATTGCTCTTTGTAAATATCAAAAACAGCACTTAACTTTGAAAGTCACGTTAAGAGCTGCTGATACTGCATCGTTTAGACATTTTTGCAATGTGCTAATTTGCTTTTCTTGTTGTTGTTACAGGCTGGAGAATCAGAATAATTCTGAAACCCTTTGCACACAAGCAATGCAACTCAAGTACAGCACAGTAATTAAGTTACTGCAAATGACTTGATGTAGGAACTATCAATAAAATGGTTTCAAAGTCAACCTTTCTCTGGAGTTTTATTTTCAACGTATACACAACTCACGTGTGTAATCACCATAAACAGTCGTGTGTCAAGCTCATAACAAGGCAGTGACGGATTATCCTCAGATCAACAGTAGCTACACATGTAGCTACGGGCCCCGCACGTTCAAGGGTCCTGCGATAAAAGCTTTCAAGCTATCAATTCCGGTTTAGTGATTCTGCACTTGCTCTATTACTCTAGTACTATACTGCCTTAAACTTTTATTAACTGGGTGTTTAAGGTTAACAATTTGTCGTATTATCTAGCTTATAGCAAATAAAAAAATACAATTACTTTACTATGCAAGTAAAATTTTTGTGTTTTAACATTTTACGTATTTTAAAAAAAATTATGGCACCTTAATAACATACTGTATGCTACAGGCCCCACACCAACTTAATCCGGCACTGTAACAAGGGGGTCGGAATTGTGTCTGATCACAAACTGTCGACCGCTCACTTGGTTCTGCATCTACTTAAGTCCACGGGTGATTGCAGGTGCATTTCTCACTGGTAACAACTTGTCAGAAACAGACCTCTTCCATACACATCTTTTAGTCACGGGCCTCTCTCGGCTTTTCCACCACCAATATCCAGCAGCATTGTTAAGTAAAGAAAGCTGTGGACCGGTCTCGACTTTCTGGGTCTCATCAGCATTTGTGATGACACACGAGTTTTGTTGAGCTCTGTGGATCGCCTTGCTGCAGTCAATGAAAGGCGACTGACTGATGGTTTCCAACTTTGTAATGCGTGCCATGTTAGTTTCAGCATGCAATCAGTCTCAAGATTACAACAACAAAAACACACTTTGTTTAAGTTCATATTGTAACATTTATTTCCATGCGAAAACATACCACTCATATTCACATTCTCAACAAACGAATATTTTATCGACGGCCACCAAGGGAAAACGTAAAGATTCTGAGTGGACAAACTCAAAAGTCAAGTCCTGTAATAGGCATTGTAGCCACGAGATGGCAGTGCAGTAAAGTCCATACGACAGGGTGGACCAGATGTCTTGTGACCCACATTTTATAAAAAAAAAACTTCATTTATATTTTAAAAAGTAGCGTTTATTTAAAACAGAAACGAACATGCAAAGTAGGAAAATATGTGAAGGGTCAATCAATTTGGGGGTCACAAGACATCTGGACCATCCTTTCCATCTCTCCCCCACACACATACACACCCAACCACCAGCCCGCACTAATCAGCGTGCGGTGAAGTATGGTCAAATATATCCACCCTCAGGGTGAAACGCAAGGCGTGGGGGTACGTAGCACCCCCCCCTCTCTAAATCCACCACTGACAAAAGGACACTGTCAAATCCATTCTACAGCGTGGTCCAGATGTCTTGTGACCCGCCATTTAGTTTTCTGAAACTTCATACATTTCTAAAAGTAGGGGTTAATTTAAAACAGAATCGAACATGCAAGACGATAAAAAAATGTTGGTGGTGGTTGAGGTTGGTGGTGGTGGTTGGTTGTGGTTGGTGGTGGTAGTTGTGACGTTGGTTGTGGTTGGTGGTGGTGGTTGTGGTTGGTGGTGGTGGTTGTGGTTTGGTAGTGGTTGGTTGTGGTGGTTGGTTGTGGTTGGTGGTGGTGTTGGTGGTGGTGGTTGGTTGTGTTGGTTGTGGTTGGTGGTGGTGGTTGTGGTTGGTGGTGGTGGTTGGTTGTGGTGGTTGGTTGTGGTTGGGTGGTTGGTGGTGGTGGTGGTTGTGGTTGGTTGTGGTTGGTGGTGGTTGGTTGTGGTTGGTGGTGGTGGTTGGTGGTGGTGGTGGTGGTTGTGGTTGGTGGTGGTGGTTGGTTGTGGTGGTTGGTTGTGGTTGTTGGTGGTGGGGGGGTTGTGGTTGGTGGTGGTTGGTTGTGGTTGGTGGTGGTGGTGCTTCACCACTTCTCACACGCAGGGTCTCATTGCACGACACGAGGGATCACGCACACTGCTGCTCCACAGGCGGCGAGGTGGAGTGAAACACCGCGCATCGCACCTTGATCGCACAAATACCAACAACAATAACAACAACAACACCACGTGCACTCGTTATAGACGGTGATCATCACACGCGTACTGCATCGCTGGTCACAATAGTGGTCGCCACGCTACAGTCGTCGTCAAACTAGTCACGGCGATCATCATCACATCACACACACTGATCACACACACACTGATCACACACACACACTGATCACACTACACACACACACCACACACACTGATCACACTCCACACTATACTACACACACACCCACACACACACCCACACACACACCACACACACTCACACACACACACTACACACACCCTACACAACACTACACACCACACCCACACCACCACACACACACCACACACACTACACACACACACTACACACACACTACACACACACACTACACACACACACTACACATACACACCACACACACACCACACACCACACTACACACACCCCACACACACACACACACACCACACACACCACACACTACACCACACACACTACCCACTAAACACACACTACACACACACTACACACACACTACACACACCACACACACACACTACACACACACTACACACACACTACACACACTACACGCACACTACACACACACACTACACACACACACACACACACTACACACACACACCACACACACACTACACACACTACACACTATACACACCCACACACACACACACACCACACACACACTACACACACTACACACACACCCACACACACACACACACACACACTATACACACACACCACACACACACCACACACACACACTACACACACACACACACACACACACCACACACACTACACCACACTACACCACCACACACTACACACACACTATACACACACACACACACACACCACACCCCACACACACACCACCACACCCCACACACACACCCACACACACCACACACACACCACCACACACCACCAACACACACACACACACCACACACCACCCACACCACACACACACACTACACACACCACACACACCACACACCCCACACACACACCCACACCCACACACCACACACACCCCACACACACCACACACACACTACACACACTACACACACTACACCCACACCACACTACACACACACACTACACCACTACACACACACCACACACACACTACCCACACCACACACACACTACACACACTACACACACACCACACACACTACACACACTACACACACACCAACACACACACCACCACACACTACACACACCACACACACTACACACCACACACTACACACACCACACACACACACCACACACACCACACACACTACACACACACACTACACCACACCACCACACACCACACACACTACACACACACTACACACACACACACTACACACACACACACACACACACACACTACACACACACACACTACACACACCACACACACACCACACACACTACACCACACCACACACACTACACACACACCACACACACTACCCACACTACACACACTACACACACACACACTACACACACTACACACACACCACACACCACACATACTACACATACACACCACACACACACCACACACACACACTACACACACACACACACACACTACACACCAACACTACACACACACTACACACACACCACACACACTACACACCCACACACACTACACACACTACACACACACACTACACACACACATCACACACACTACACACACCCCACCACACACACCACACTACACACACACACTACAAACACTACACACACTACACACACACCACACACACTACACACACACCACACCACCACACCACACACACACCCACACACACACACACACACCCGCACACACCACACACACACACACACACACTACACACACACACTACACACACCACACACACACCACACACACACCACACACACTACACACACACACCACACACCACTACACACACACACTACACACACACTACACACACACACTACACACACACACCACACACACACCACACACACGTGTGCGAGACGGACACTGCGTAGCCGCGCCTCCTGGCCGCTGGGAGAGCCCCCGGGGTCTCAGTCTGCAGCGAGCGGCATCAGCAGCAGCCGCATCGCACTCAACTCCTGCGCCACTCTCAAGGTTGTGTTGTTGCTCTTGTTACAAGCAGACCGATGCCATTGTCTACTTGGCCGATCGATTTCGAGTAAACACAACAAGAAGGAGAAGAATAACAAGAAGGATACATTAACCAACGCCACAAAAGAGCCATGGCTGGTACAATGTGCGTGGCAATGTACCAGTACACGGGCGATATGAATCAGCAAGGATTGAGTTTCGGAGCAGGGGACACACTCCGCGTGTTCCACACCACGGAGGATGGCTGGTGGGAAGGCGAGAAGGACGGCATCCGTGGCTGGTTCCCTGCGAGCTACGTGCACATCTTGGAGGTAAATTGAGCCCAGAATGAAGTGGGACATTGTAGCTACAACGTGGATGGGATGGGGTGGTGTGGGGTGGTGCTGAGTCCAACGTGAATGGTGACACGGGCGTTTGGCACTCCGATGGTAAAACCTTGCCTGCCCCTGGCACCGTCGAATGCAGGCCAGTGTGTTTAACTTGTGAGTGTTTAAGCCGTGTATTTACGTGATCTAATCCCCCCCCAAAAAGCCTGTATTATATTATGGATGATATTGGTCGCGAAAGGCTAAAACGTGTTAAGCCATGCGGTGTTGTATGTCATGTTTTGTATACATGCAGATGTCGGGGAAGACTGAAGCAACATTGAAGTTTCGTCCTTTTCCACTGAACATTTTTAATTCATCATGCCAACCAACGTTGCAATGTTTTTTTCTTAAATTGTATTTTTGAGAAGCTATTCCGCTTCCTTTGTGATCCAATTATCACCGCTATGGATACACGTTGAGCAGCATCTCTCCCCCAAA